TCTGGAGAGGATCTGGACTTCACTGTCCTCAAAAGAATGTCCTTTGTCCTTCAGGTGGAGGCGGACTGCTGACTCTGGTCCACTGGAGTTGGCCCTCCTGTGTTGGGCCATGCGTTTGTGCAGTGGCTGTTTTGTTTCACCAATGTACACGTCATTACGCTCCTGACTACACTTAATTGCATATACCACATCACTGTCTGGGTGTTTTGTCCTTCGGGTGGACAAGTCTCTGCTGCAGGGTGCCGTCTGGCTTAAAGTTGACTGGGATATTGTGGTCCAGCAGTCCTACTATATTCATCCACCAGCAGTTTTGGACATTAACAAAATGATTAAATTATCAGTTGGCCTCTGCAGTAATCTAGGACAAACACTGCTCCGCCTGGCTGATATATGTACACACACACACGCACCTTAAAAATTAGTAATGTTTCTCCCATTTGAATGCAGAAATATGAACACAATGCAATTAAACGAATTGACAAAGATCATAATGTTTGGAGTAAGTGGTGGTCCAGCCACTCTGCTGTAGTGACCTCATTTCTTCCACTCCTGCTGCTCTGTGGTGTGGTATAAACCAGAGTCTATGGTCTAACAGACACTGGCTCTGAACACACCAGTACAGTGTAATACAAGAATCCCTGTGTGTCTCGAACCTATGACCTTCTGATCACACATCTATTGGATTCAATGTGTGAGCTAATATCTGGCTGAAAGCTTCAACCTCTGAACTGTACATTCATTGGCCACTGTATTAGGTGCACCTGTACAATTATATATAGTTCAATGCAACACTTATGCCTTAACATTTGTGTTTATTAAGCTAAAAATGTTTGTTTATGGTGAAATTGTCAAATATATAAATTATATGCTTTTAATCAAGGTCATGATATAAAGTGGTTGTACTGGATTATATTATACAGTAATGGCGCTGTTAACTAATTTATGCAGAAAACCAGGAAATTGTAATGACATATGATCTGATTTTCACCAACATCAAAAGTATCAACAAACACTATTCTAAGCTGATAAAACAGTCATGCTCTTTCATGTCTTTACTGTACACACCCGGTAAACATACAAAGGGATGGTGGGAAAAGTAAACAACACCAGGCTTCTGGTGTCACTAAAGGTCAACTGGTGTCAGGTGTTAGCAAACCTGGAGTCCAGTCAATGAAACGAGAAAGGAGATATACATTAGAACTACCTCGGCTTCTAAAAACGCAGTGTCTGTGTGCTATTCACAAGCAGCATCAAGTGATGTGAGCCATGCCTGGAAAAAAAAAAGAAAAAAAAAAAAACCAAATACCTAAAATTAAGAGTTGTTGATTTTCATGTAGATGGAAAGGGTTAGAGTCATCACAAAGACTTTAGATACCCATCATTCCACAGTTAGACAGTGTCTATAAATGGAGATTTGGTACTCTGGCTACACTCCACAGAGGTGGGCGCCAAGCCAAGATCACCCCAAAGACAAGGCAGAATGCCTCTAGTCTAAAGACTTAAAGGATTCATTGGAGTTGGTTAACATCTCTGTCCATGAGTCAACCCTTGAATATCGAACAGGCATGACAGGACACCACGGAGGAAACCATCACTCTCCAAAAAGAAAACTGCAGCACTCCTGAAGTTTGCCAAAGACCATATTGACACAACACTACTGGGAAAATGTCTTGTGGGCAGACACAGGACTATGCATGGTGTAAAAGGAGAACTGCAATAGGTCACATTCACCAACCATTCTTAAAACACACAAGATTCTGGCATTTCTCAAATGGCTTTTTTTTTTTTTTTTAATCTGGGTAAGAACAGAATCTACACACACTCAGGATCAGACTTGCACACATTTGGGCACTGACATTTGTCTGAAATGAATAGTTATGTTTCCTTCAGTTCTACAGTTATGTAAAATTTAAATTACAATAAGTTTTGTAATTATTAGCATTTCTTTAATATTTTCCCCATTATTTTACAAAGCATTATTTTAAAATGAACAAACACTACACTAACAATTACAGCAAGGAATTAATTGCTTGTTTATAAATCAAGGCTTTAAAAATTTAATTTAAAAAGAGCCCATGGCAAGCTTTTCTGGGTGTCACGACTTTTCTACAATGTTACAATGATGAATTATTTTAAACATGACTGAAATCTCAAAAAACTAAAGGATAAGGATAATTACTTTATTTGGCCAAGTATATTACACGCACAAGGAATTTGTTTCTGGCACACAACTGAGGCAGCCATCTGCAACACCAACTCACACTCGATCATTTTACCAAGATCAGTGAGTGTGTTTATGCACCCACCGTCTCCACTCCCGCATTCCTGGAACTTGATTATAGTACTACCTCCTAAGGGGTACCAAAATTTAGCTCCCAAAATGCACCTCCAAAGCAGGCGGAGAGATGGATGAGTATTGCACGGTTTGTTACGTTTCAATAAGTTCCTATAGTAAAAAACACTTTATACTTACAACACAGTCTAATTACGCTTGACAATCAAACAGAATAATTGGCAAGAACAATTTTATAAACACCTTGCTAATGCAAATTCCAAATTTAGATTTTCTAAAAAGTCCAACTCCTTGAAATGACACTTTAGAACAAAAAAGGGCATAGGAAGCTAATACAGCAAATACAGAGGAGCCAACAGAAACACTCGGCTAAAAGGGAAACTATGGTCCAAAACTCTGACAGATACAGTTCCTATAAAAAGTATTCAGCCCCTTGGATGTTTTACCCTTCTGATTTTATAAAAATCAATCATGGTCAATACAATTTGACTTTTTGGACAAAAAAAAAAGTCAAAGTGAAAACAGGTTTCTACAAAGTAATGTCAATTAAATAAAAATATGTGATGGTAAATAAGTGATTGTATAAATATTCACCCCCTTCAAGTCAGTATTTAGTAGATGCACCTTTGGCTGCAATCACAGCACTGAGTCTGTGTGGATAGGTCTCAATCAGGCTTGCACATGTGGACACTGCAATTTTACTCCATTCTTTGAAAAACTGCTCAAGCTCTGCCAGGTTGCGCAGTGATTGGGTATGAACAGCCCTTTTCAAGTCCAGCCACAAAATTCTCTACTGGATGAGGTCTGGGCTTTGACTCAGCCACTCCAGAACACTCACCTTGTTGTCTTTAAACCATTTCTGTGTAGCTTTCGCTGTATGCTTCAGGTCATTGTCCTGCTGGAAAATAAATCTTCTCCCAAGCTGTAGTTCTCTTGCAGGCTGAATAAGATTGTCCTCCAGGATTTTCCTATATTTTGCCACTTCTTTGGTCTCATCAGACCAAAGAAGTTTCTTCCACTTGACCATAGAGTCTCAACTAGAGTTCACCAACAGGCATGTGGGAGATTTAATATGAGTTTTCTTCAACTCATGTCTTGGTGGCCTCTCTCACTAGGGTCCTTCTTGCAGAGTCACTCAGTTTGTGAGGACGGCCTGATCTAGGCAGATTGAGACTTGTGCCATATTCCTTCCATTTCTTGATGATGGATTTAACTGAACTCCGGGAAATGTTCAGTGCATTGAAAATGTTTTTGTATCCACTCCCTGACTAATACTTTTCAATAACCTTTTCTCTGAGTTTCTTGGAGTGTTGTTTTTGTCTTCATGGTGTAATAGTAGCCAGGAATACTGATTCACCAGTGACTGGACCTTCCAGACACAGGTGTCTATACTACAATCACTTGACACATTCACTGCACTCTGGTGGTCCCTATTTCACTAACTGTGAGACTACTAGCACCAATTGACTGGACATCTAGAAGTACGGAGTTCAGAAAGAACAGTTCCTCCAGTACAATCAATTAAAATCCATAATTAAGTCAAAGATTAGTGTAATCAATAACCCACTACAACCCTCCAAATTAATTGGAGATTATGAAAATTACAGATTCCAAAAAATATCCAAGCTATATAAAAATTCTGTAAATCAGAATCACTAAAATGACAGGCACATGTCCACAACTCCCAACTACCAGGGTTTTTCCCTACTAAATAAAGGCTTAGGCACTTGGCTTAGAACTCCAAAAATGGACTGGACGGAATTATTGGCACCCTCATCTTAATTGGTAGTACACCCTTTGGACAAAATAACTGAAATCAATACTTTCCTGTAACCATCAGTGAGCTTCTTGCACCTTTCTACTGCAATTTCGGGACCACTCTTCTTTTGCCAGCTGCTCCAGGTCTCAGATTTGAAGGGTTCCTTCTCCCAGCTGCTCTTTTGAGATTCTCCACAGGTGCTCTATGGGATTTAGATCTGGACTCATTGCTGGCCACTTCAGAACTCTCCAGCCCATTGGCTGAAACCATTTCTGGTGCTTTTTGAAGTCTGCTTTGGGTCATTGTCCTGCTGTGACCTCTGACAGAGACCCAACATTCTGTTACTAGGCCCTAAATTGCAATTTCATAATGCCATATACACGGTCAAGACCATCCAGTACCTGAAGCAGAAAAGCAACCCCAAAACATCAGTAAACCTCCACTCTGACTGTAAGGACTGTGTTCTTTTCTTTGAAGGCCTCATTTCATTTTCTGAAAACAGCAGAATGACGTGCTCAACCAAAAAGCTCTATTTTAGTCTCATCTGTCCACAGGACCTTCTCCCAGAAGGACTGTGGCTTCCTCAGGTAGGTTTGGAAAAACTCCAATCTGGCTTTTTTTTATGTTTGTGTCAGCAGTGGGCCCCCTGGGTCTCCTACCACTGTGTCCCTTGTCATTCAGATGGTGATAGTGTGAGCTGACACTGCTGCACCCTTTGCCTGTGACCTCACATTACACATACCTCTAGAATTTACAGTGCTGAACATTCATCTTTTCTCATCAGCAAGTAATACTTCCAAAATAATACCAGGATTGGGGAAAAAGACCAAAGCTTACACCAACCAGGTCATGACAGTACACATAATTTCTCTTATGTGCATGTAAAAGTAGTGATTGTAAGTCAAAGCTTTCTATTGTTAACTAACCTGACAACCTGTTAATTCTTACCTCTGACGCACAAACTCATCTGTGACCACCTTCCTCACATCACCAAACTCCTCATGTTTCTCTCTGGACAGATTTTGAGTAATCGTAAGAGAGAATGGATAGAAACAAAAACATTTAAAGTCATGGATATGGCAAGTCCTTAATATTCAGGTGCAAACTACATACATAGATATAAAACACAACCGTCTTACCCAGGGTCAACACGGAGTTTCTTCAGAGTACTCCAGATAAGGTCTGTAAAGAGAAACAAAAGCAGATATTTTTGGGGTGAAAATATGGGAAATGGACAATACATGATATAATGGACTTCTACTTAGAAAAAGCAATGGATAGTCACTCACTTTCTCTGACAAGGCCTCCCTTCATGAAAATAATACTCAGGATCACAAACAGGAGACCCATCTTTGGATTGGTAGGACTACCACATACACAAGGAAGACAGATATGAATACTTGATTCAGGAAAAATTATGTAATAGTGTTAAACACAATCAACAAAATATATAGTTAGAAATACTCACTTGATTATGGAGGCTCCCACAACTGGCTCCATTTTATTGATGAGTATGTACGAATGACTTTTGGTGTCAATTTCAACCAGTTTAAGACCAAATACCTGGTTGGAAGCGTGGAAAAGAGCAATACTGTTAGTTTTTAGTTTTAATGTGAGCATTCTTTAACATGACAGTATTTAACTGCAGTGATGCCAGTGACTCAGACTGAACAAACCTGGTCAAAAGTACGTTCCGCCCTCTTTATGATCTCAGGGTAGATGTTTCTGTAATCTTTCACCACATGCTTCACAAGGTCTGAAAAAGAAAAAAAGAACCAAAAAAGAAAAAAAAAAAAATTCAGTTTGAACAGTTTACTCAATATTAGTGTGTTCCAAGTATGGCTGTCCCCGGTAGTCGAAAGGTTGAGTCATTAGTCAAGAGACCCGTCAGTCAACTGAGACTCTTCTAGTCAAGCCTTCATTTTTATACATTTTTTTTTGGTGAGCCAGTGTGCATTACAGAAGGCAGCCTATGCCAGGTTGTTTGTCATCTTCTGACATTATACATCAATTGAAATAGGTCGCAGTTTAACTATTGCATCATATTCAGCTGTCTTTTTGATTTTTAAATGCTCATATGTTTGTTACTGTATTACATTTAAATACCAATGTTAATGTGGTCCAAATCACTGAAATTCATGCCAGTTGATTTTCTGACTGTAGGATGTATATTAAAAAAAGAAAAAGAACGAACAGTCAAACAGTTGCAATGAAGAGCCGACTGATAAAATCCATAGGTCAGGTACAGTCCTAGTCTTAAAATCCTTTTACAATATAATATTCAGGCCCTCATGCTAAAAGTTGACAATTGAGAGAAATGTGTTGAACTCTAACAAAAAGTGTGGACTTAGATTATGAAGAGACATACATCCAGTGATGGCTGATTTAGAGCACTGGAGACCAAAGATGAAAAGTATCTGACAATATCAAATATTGGGGACAAATAAATACATAAACACAGTGACTGCTGCAAAAGACCTGCACTTAGTGATGGATGCATCTTAATCCTTTCATTTGTATGTGTAGTTATTAGCTCATTGCACATACTGTATGTCACAATAGTGTATGTCAGCCAATGAATGACAAACTAAAATACAAAATAAGTTTTGTTTTTTTTTTAGTAAATATAACTTTATGTCCAGGTCAGTATGGCTTTTGGTCACTGTTTAAATACATGCATGTAGAAAACATTATCAAAAATATTTCATTATGTTAATGGTTGTGTAAAAATAAATAAATAAATAAATACTATTGGCCAATATCATCTGTTTTATTTACATGAGCAAAACAGTTCAGACATTCCGGCACCACCTGGCTGGCTTCAAATTAATACTGTATTCTGACACAGCTTGCAACTAAGATTTTGTTAGTCAGTGTGACATGCAACTAACATGTAAAGTTATGGTCTTGCACAATATTACACATATGTGTGTGTGTGTGTGTGTGTGTGTGTGTGTGTGTGTGTGTCATGGCCAAAATCTGGCACCCCTACCTTTCTGTTAGATAAGCACCACTACTGCCAGAATATTGCTGTAATCAAAGTATTTGGTATTCTCATGTTTGTCTTTTTTTGTATTTGAACACTACACAAAAGCATAGGGAAAAGCTAAAATCTGATCCATTCCACAGAAAATTTGAAAAATGGACTGGACAGAATTATTGACACCCTTAAATGAATATTTGGTAGCACACCCTTTGGACAAAATAAATGAAACCAATTGCTCCCTGTAACCATTTGAGTTTCTTCCATCTCTCTACTGGACTTCTGGACCACTCTTCTTTTGCCAGCTGCTCCAGGTCTCTCAGATTTGAAGTGTTCCTTCTCCCAGCTGCTGCTCTGAGATCTCTCCACAGGTGCTCTATAGGATTTAGATCTGGACTCGTTGCTGGCCACTTCAGAACTCTCCAGCTCATTGTCTGAAACCATTTCTGGTGCTTTTTGAAGTCTGCTTTGGGTCACATCAGTGAACCTCCACCATGCTTGACTGTAGGGACTGTGGTCTTTTCTTTGAAGGCCTCATCTCATTTTCTGAAAACAGAGCGATGTGCTCGACCAAAAAGCTCTATTTTAGTCTCATCTGTCCACAGGAGATTAGCTACAGCGACATGGGCCAGATCTCTGGAGATGGACTTGAGACTGTCCAGGCTTTTCCACTATTGTGCTTCCCAAATTCTCAGACAATTCTTTGCTCTTCTGTCTTTTCTCCATGCTCAGTGTGGTCCACACGACAAAGTTTGAGTCAACTTTTATCCATTTTAACTGGTTGTCAGTGTGATTTCTATGTTGCCAGCACCTGTTGGTCGCTAGAGGCGAGTTTCATTACAAATTAAAGGAACATCACATTCTTGAAATACAACCATTTCTAATGGTTTTGAAAATGTGTCAATAATTCTGAGTAGTCTGAGCAGAGCCTTCCAGACTTCCCTCTTCCCACACACCTCCTCTAGCTCCTCAGGAGGAACAACAAGGCGTTACCAGGCCAGCCAGGAGACAATCTCTCAAATGTGTCCTGGGTTGGCCCCAAGGCCTTCTCCCAAAGGGACATGCCCAGAATACCTCCCCAGGGAGGCATCCAGGGGGCATCCTAAACAGGTGCCTGAGCCACCTGGTTCCGCTCAGTGTGGAGGAGAAGCGGCTCTACTCAGAGCTCCCCACAGGTGACTGGGCTCTGCACCCTATCCCCCTAAGGGTACAGAGACCGCATTACTGCAGACGCCGCACCAATCCGTCTGTCAACCTTCTGCTCCGAATAAAGGCCCATGCTCATCCCGCTCGGGATGGGGTCACCGGGGCCCCACCCTGGAGCCAGGCCTGGGGGAGAGGCTCGCATGCAAGCGCCTGGTGGCCAGGCCTATACCAATGGGGCCTGGTCGGGCTCAGCCCGAAACCATAACGTGGAGCCACTCTTCGGTGGGCCCACCACCTGCTGGAGAGGCCTCAAGGGGCCGGTGCATTGTGTTTTGGGCAGTGGCCGAGGCCAAGTGCCCACCTGACCCAAACCTCGGACGCCAACTCTGGTTTTTGGGACTTGGAGAATACCAGAGAATTTGTAATAAGTGGTATATTATCTGACAGAAATGCAGGGGTGGCAAAATTTTTGTCCATGACTGTATATGCAGCTATACCTGCTCGGCGTATGGGAATCTTCTTTTGGTCCTTCACCAAAAAGTACTGTACAACTTCAGCAGTCTGCAAGACAACATTGGAGTGAATCATATTAGGATAATTTTAATCATTTGCAATAAGCCTGTGGATTTCTGTGCGTTTTCTACCTTTTGCTCGACCTGCGCAGGTGTGAGTTTCTCCAGCCCTCTTTGTACCTGTGACGTACTTGGCTGAGTAAAGGTTGAGTCATCATCCTCTTCCTGAGCCATTAAGGTGCCAGGCTGCTGCTACATGTAGAAATTTTCATTGAAAGTACTGTCATATTATCTGATACAACCCCAGTGTCATAGTTAGGAACAGAAAGCATAAGCTGGGTTCAATCTCCAACTCAATTTGCTGAAAAAATAACATTGTTAATAATGTGGAAGAGGAGTATCTGAATACTTAAATATCAAACACCATGAAAACCACATACAGATGCAGCCACTCAGAATTGCACTTCCCAGCTGAACGGCTTCCAACTGCCATGCAGCTGGTATGCAGTTCCCATCAGTCTTCCCAAAGCCCCCTTCTCCTGTTGCCTGATAAGGAGTATCTAATATTGCACAGTAAACACAACCATTAAAGAGCTATTCTTTGATTTGCCTGGTGTCACCAATGGATGGTGCTTTGGTCTCAAAAACACATTCATATACAAACCAGAGCATGGCTAGCTGACATAATATATTCACACTGTAGAGACAAATTTTTGTTTAGGACACGGTTTATACCATAGAATTGTCTGACCATATTCCTGACCATACAGGTACTTTGCCAGATAAATAATTGTTACACTGGGTTTTACATTTGCTGTCAAAAATCTATTAACATGCTTAAGTTATGTTAAAAAATAATGAAGTATGCTAGAATGAATAAGCTAATGCATATGTAAACATTCATTTGAAATCTGATATCACACAGCTGCTGGAATAACCCTACAGTAATGTGGTCTTTGTAAAACAATACTGTCATTGCCAGTTTGTGGTGAGAATTCCCGTTCCTGCAGTAAAGCATATTCACTTCCCGTTTACTGTGCCTGCATCGTGCTGTGCTTGCTACTAGATTGTTTATGGATTAAGCTCACTAATTTCTAGGTTTATCTGAACATCAGCTAATTTTTTGAGTCACAACATACACCTGCACTACTTAAGCACCTGTGTTACAGAATTTCTTGCTCATTTCCAACTCAAGGCTTCAATGACAGTGCTCAAGTGTGGTGGGCAAGAAAATGAAATACAATCAAGACGTGTCATTTATTGGTTCATGAATTGTTTGGCATTTGATTCACCATGCACATTCGTATTCAACTACACTACATGGTTGTATGGTTTCAAGCTGACAATAATGTATAAAATAAACATGAACTCATGTTGAAGGCAATGTTTCTTATTTGGCACGTGTGATTGTAGTAGGCTATAGCTACGTATATACTTAGCCTGACATTTTGTGCTATGAACCATATTCTATCCTAAAACAAGTCTAAATAGCCCATAGCTTAAAAGATGTTGAACAGCAGGTGTTCAGTAGGCTAAATGGCAAATGTGATCTTATTTCAAATGTTGGGAATCGAACCCACATTACAGTGTTGCAAGACTGCGGTTTATGATGCACCACAAGTTCCAATCACATTACTTTGTGGTTGTTTCACCCATTTGAGTAACATTAGCTACTACAATCCCCGATCCTTCATCAACTCCCACCCATGTGCATGTTACAGCACTTACTATACATAAATAAAGTCTGGGAACCTGTCCTGGGTGGACCCCGCCTCTCACCCAATGTCAGCTGGGATTGGTTCTAGCCCACCTGAACCCTATTCAGGAATAAAAGTTATAGATAATTTTTTTGCTGGCGCCCCCCCCCCCCCCCCAGACTCCCTGCCAAGATTGTGTTCCCACCACTTCCTAACAAATAAACATCCTTGAACTTAGATATTCCTAAAAAAAAAAAAAACAAAAACAAAAAACAAATAAATTACTTACTCTGCTCTGAGGTGAGTTCTGTGTGTTGGAAAGCCTCCTTCTCTGCGTCATGGCGACACGCTGCCTGACACACAAAACAAAATACAGCCAAAGCCTAAGGACCTGTACCAGAAAGTGAGTTCAACTTATTCTGGCTCGTGTGGAGTTATCTAGCTTCACTGAGAATAACATTGGATGTGCCGGATAGCAGGTACCACAAAGCCAGCTCTGTTAAATCTGGGGTTTTTCTATTGGGCTATGAGCATGTTCTCATGAAAGTGGTGGAGTTGTTAATTAGAAGCAACAGCACCATTATTTTTAAGGGTCTTCAGTTTTGTTTGTTTTTTTCTCTTGTCAGATGATCAAGAAACTGTTTCTGCTGCCAGAGCAGAGAAGAGAGCAAATTGGGGAAGAGCCACACCTCAAGTCATATGTTAATTTATAATATGGGAAATATTTAAAAGAGTATGGATAATTTTTCTACAACCCTAAATTGGGGAAAAAGTTGAAACAGTATGCAAGATCAAACTTTAAAAATAGTGGTGTATTACACTGAAAACAATACAGCAGCACATTTTAATGTGACACCTCATCAATTTTATTCTTTGTTCAAAATAAACACTTCAATTCCAATACCTGAAACACATTCCAAAAAAAGTTGGGACAGTTGCATTTCAGGGCCAGTAATGAGGTAAAACAATGAAATGATGATTCCATGTGAAACAAGTGATAGCAGGTGATTGTATCATGATTTGGTACAAAGTGGCATCCAGTAAAGACCAAGCCCTTTAGGAGCCAAGATGGGCCAAGAACCACCATTTTGACGTGTGAAAAATTCTTCTCTTTCGGCTGTTCCCGTTAGGGGTCGCCACAGCAAATCATCTGTTTCCACCTAACTCTATCCTCAGCATCCTCTACTCTCACCCCAATTAACTGCATGTCCTCTTTTAGCACATCCATATATCTCCTCTTTGGCCTTCCTCTTGACCTCTTGCTTGGCAGCTCCATCTCCAACATCCTTCTACCAATATAACCACTATCCCTCCTCTGCACATGTCCAAACCATCTCAATCTGGCCTCTCTGACCTTGTCCCCAAAACAGCCGACCTGAGCTGTCCCTCTGATGTGCTCATTCCTAATCCTGTCCATCCTGGTCACTCCTAAAGAGAACCTCAACATCCTCATCTCTGCTACCTCCATCTCTGCCTCTTGTCTTTTCCTCACTGCTACAGTCTCTAACCCATACAGCATAGCTGGTCTCACTACTGTCTTGTACACCTTTCCTTTGATTCTTGCTGCCACTCTTCTGTCACACAACACTCCTGACACCTTTCTCCACCCACTCCAACCTGCCTGCACTCACCTCTTCACCTCTTTCCTACACTCCCCATCACACTGGACTGTTGACCCCAAACACTTAAACTCCTGCACCTTCTTGACCTCAGCCCCCTGTAACCTCACTGTTCCCCTCCCCTCCTCTCGTTCATACACATGTATTCTGTCTTACCATGACTGACTTTCATTCCTCTTCTTTCCAGAGCAGACCTCCACCTGCTCTCTGCTCTCAATACAGATCACAATGTCATCCGCAAACATCGTCCACGGAGATTCCTGTCTGACCTCATCTGTCAACCTGTCCATCGCCATAGCAAACAAGAAGGGACTCAAAGCCGATCCTTGATATAGCCCTACCTCCACCTTGAACTCCTCTGTCTGGGCACAAGCCTTGGCTGAATGCATCAAGAATCGTCACCCTGCTATAAATCGATACAACCACATAGGTTCAGGATTATTTTGGCACACCTGCCTTCAAGATGACATCTTTTCCAGAGATGCCCTTACGTATTTCAACAAGGCAATGCAAAACCTCAGTGCACATTACCAAGGCCTGGCTGTGGAAGAAAAGGGTACAAGTGCCAGACTGAACTACCTGCAGTCCCAACCTGTCCCCAATTGAGAACGTTTGGTGCATTTTGAAACAAAATTGCATCAACAGAGACCCAGGACTGTTGAACACCTTAAGACTTGTTTACAGGAAGAATGGGACAAAATGACACTTGAATCACTTAATGTCTTCAGTCCCTAAACATCGTTTAAGTGTTGTGAAAAGGAGCAGCAACATCACACCATGCTTTACTGTCCCAACCTTTTTGGAATGTGCTGTAGGCATCAGAATTGAAGAGTTTATTTTGATCAAGGAATAAAATTGTGCTGCTATATTGTTTTCACTACAATACAGGACAGATGATTATTTGTAAATCATCACTACTTTCAACTTTAATTTTGATTTTACATAGCACCCAAATCTGCCCCTGTGAGGATGCAGTAGGAATAATCGCTCAATTTTATCAGTGGTTGTTTGATGCTCAGGGTGTTAACAGGTTTGGATCTGATCCTCTGAAGTTAGCCTGCTCCAGAGCAGGTTAGCCGTGCAGCATAAGTTACTGTGGTGATCTAACAAACTTCGTGGCACCGGACAACCTGAGCTGAGCCCAAAATTAGCTGGATAAGTAATCAGTCTTACTTCGTGGTACCGACCCCTTGTCGACATGTTAATACGACCTGAAGTAAACAACGCAATAAACTAAAAACTGAATAAAACAGGACCACATGAAACGGAGAACACTGATGCTAAAGCTTGTGACTTCCGTGGACCAAATTTTGCAGCCTTGTCGAGATATGCTATCTTAGTAGTCGAGTCTATGCACTAACTAACTAACTAACCCCACCCCATCCATCCATCCATCCATCCATCCATCCATCACCCTAACCACTTTGTGAATGGTAGATTGCACGTGTCGATAGGTAGCCAAATTTGACAAAACACCCAGACCGGATGATTTTTGATTCCCCATCGTTATAAGAGTCTGAGGATTCAGGAAATACCTTCAGAACTTGGGTGACTCTTAATAAACCACGGTAGGAGATTAAAACAGTCGACAAATCTCAATTTCTTATGTTCAAGATTATCTCCATGACTCGAGCGCATGCAACGTTAATACGCGAGAGTCACAAGCTGGTTCTAAAGCAGAGCCGTTAACCGGAGAGCAGCAGCTAACTAGTTGTCATAAATCAAAAGTAACTTAGACATCGTATAACAATTTTCTCCGTGTCAGTAAGCTGCGTTAACACTGCGAGGGGCTTAACAGGGTCATTTCAAATATACACTCACTTTGCCTAAATGCAAACTCCTCAGCCGTTCTCAAGCTTCTCAGTCTGCCGCTACCGCGTTTCGAGGCGCATGTTGATGACGCAATGCGCACGCGCCCTGTTTTTACCCCCGCCAAGGAGGTTGTTTTTGGTTCTGTGTGTGTTTAGCGGGATTACAGAAAAACGGCTGTATAATCAGCATACTTGGTACTAAAGACCTTATTCTATTATAAAGCATCGTCCGGTTCTTTCAAACCAGGAACTCCGAGGGACGACTCAGACCACTTGAGTATATAAAAAATATAACCGTGCTGGTTTATTCAAAGAGTCACAGGCAAGAATTAACATTACCTTTCCAGAGATCTTCCAACCCCCAGGCTGCCCAAGCAGCCCGGAAGCAGAAAAAGCCCCGAACCTAGAATTGCTATACAATATCATCACTTAGTTGGCTCGCCCCCTCCTCCACAGAAACGTCAACCGAGACGTCTCTCTCTCACCAGCTTTGCAGCTGGCTCTGTCAATAGTCACAACATGAAGAAAACAATGTGTGTGAATGTTGATTATGCGGGGTGTATCTAAAAACACTGTCACACAGCAATTCACATTAAGACAAATATTATGGTTACTTTTACCGTCATAATAACATTTATCATTTATCCCTGCCTGCAGCCTTTCTCTGCTTTAACTAACCTTGCATTTAACAGCCTGAGGAAGACATCCTGGCTACTATCTCTAAGGGTGCGCCCGGCCACCCTGCGGAGAAAGCTCATTTCGGCCGCCTGTATCCGGGATCTTGCCCTTTCGGTCATGACCCAAAGTTCATGACCATAGGTGAGGGTCGGAACGTAGATTGACCAGTAAATCGAGAGCTTCGCCTTATGGCTCAGCTCCTTCTTCACCACGACGGATCGGTACATCGACCGCATTGCTGCAGAAGCTGCACCGATCCCCAAATGTCAAGGTCACAAAAATAATGGTAAAAAAAATCTGACGTTTTCATCTTTAACATGTGGCAAATTGTATAAAATAATATCTCCACCAAAAGTTATCAAAATTATTTGTGTGTGAAATTTGACACACTATGGGGTGGCATTGTCCATCACCAGACCAAATTTCATCCGGTTCTGATCTGGATTCCATATCTGATGGCCATTTAATATTAGTATTGAAAACCCTATTTAACACATTTTCTGCCATAACTTGGCCTACAATGAAAATAGAACCCTGAAATGTTCAGGTAAGATGCACAGTATTGACTATCATACCCTAAAAGATGACCCTGGTCACAGATTTTAGGACACATGTTGTTCTAGATCAATTTTTTTCACAAGGGACCATTTGCTTGAGTGTAAGTTGTGCCTTGGAAGAGGTACATGCATCTGAGTGTTCTTGTTTATTATTATTATTATTATTATCATCAATCCTATTGCTGTCCACCCCTGACATATTTCTTTTATGGACTGTTGCACTTTTTTTGTTTTGTTTTTTCCTAGTGAAGAAAAACAAGCACACTGGCCATGGATGTATTATCCACATTTTATCTATTTCTATAGATAGGCTGATTAGCCATAACTATTGATGGCTGATTGAGGCTTTGTTGAAGCTTTGACGCTTTATTTAAAAAAAAAAAAGGTTCATTACTCGAGGCTTCAATGACGGTGCACAAGTTGGACATCTAGTGATCAAAATGAAGTGCAATCAAAACGCCTTATTTATTGGTTCATGGATTGTTTGGTATTTGATTCACCATGCACATTCATATTCAACTACACTACATGGTTGTATGGTTTCAAGATGACAATATATAAAAAACAGACTCATGTTGAAGGCCATGTTTCTTATTTGGCACATGTGATTGTAGTAGGCTATAGCTATATACTTAGCTTGACATTTTGTGCTATGACTCATTCTATCCTAAAACAAGTCTAAATAGCCCATAGCTTCAAAGATGTTGAATAGTGGCTGTTCAGTAGGGTAGATGGCAAATGTTTAGTTGATGAGCTAAATAACTGTCACGAAGAAACCCCATGCTACACTGTTACAAGACTACAGTTTTCATGATGCACCACAAGTTCCAATCACATTACTTTGTGGTCATTTCACCTATTTGAGTAACGCTGACTACTACACTCCATGATGCTTCAACTCCCACCAATGTGCATGTTACAGCACTTACACCAACTGTTTTCATTTGCTCCGAGTATCATGGTTTAGTAATGTTATAGAATCTTTAGTACTGAATGCAACACTGTCAAATCAAATCTGTCGACTCAGTCTCTATTTGCTTCGAAGGTTCGGCTCAGCTCTCCCAAAGAGCCAAGACAACCAAACCAAACCAATCAGGTGATTCAAATGATGTTTGAAGCACTCAACTGCTTTGAAAGTTACTCAAGTGCTTCAAATGTCACTAGCCACGTGACCAAACCACACCTTGGCACAGTGGTTCGATACAAGTGCTTCATGAGCTACTGCGCGAGTGTTGGAGCCTCTGGTGTCAGATGACCATCACAGGTTGATGCATTGCATGGCACCTTGAGGTTTTTCACATGTTGATGGTTGGATGGTTTGACCCTCAGTGGCCCAGGGCACGTTTTACAACAGCAGGCTGTTGGTACAGTATCTGTACAATCAGAGCCTTTTCCTAGTGATGTGAGAAGCAACTGACGATGGGAAGAAGGCACTCCAAATTTGAGGGATTTCTACATTGGCAAGCAAAAACTGAGTAATTGCATTGTACATTAAACTGACTGCATTACATAATACTGGCGAGACCACAACTGATTATATCATCTGAGCTGAGAGTACTGAAACTGGTATTGGTAATTGGTCTCACAGATGTTTTTTCCAAGATCCAATTTTGTGTACTTCCTGAAGAACAAGAGTGGTACAGCTAAAGCAACTAAGAGGTTCATTGCAGACACTGCTACTTATGGGAAAATAAGTACACTTCTAACGAGTTCAGGTCACTATTCACAAGAAATGCTATTGAACACAAGAAATCAGCTCCAAATTCACCTCCTCAGAATGGGTTGGCTAAGAGAGGCAGAAGAACAGTATTTGAGATGACTTGGTGTATGCTGACACAGAGCAACCTTCCAAAAGAAATGTGGATATACACAGTCATGACAGCACCAGTTATCAGGAATAGGTGAAACCAGAAAAACAAAGGCCATATTTCCAACTACACAATAAACTCGAATAAGTCCATCATATTGCCACTCTCTGAAGATGCCTGGGATTCTGCAGCTCAAGACTGTCCCCTACCACTTCACACTGGCAACAAAATATTTATCAGTATTTCCCCCAGGCTGTCAGAACTTCTTTAACCTTAACTACACCCCTCTGCTAAAAATGATTTCAAATGCTGGTCCAACCTCCCGCTGTCACTCATTGGCTGAATTTCTACAATCAAAATCAAAACTTTACCACAAATTACCTACCTGTTTTCAATGCTTCCCACAACACCAACAGATAAATGGTTCAAATCACTCTAATCTTTAACTTCGCAATTTTACTGTAATAATAAGAAACCCAAAATTTCCCTGTCAACACTCCAGAAGAACAAACCACAAAGTGGCCTAGAAATTTTGAGTATTATTTCTTAGCAAATCAACTACAATATTTAGTTAAATGGATTCAGAACTACAGTTATAATAGCTCATGGATAGAACTAGAACAAAATCAATGCAAAAATACTTCAGTTGCAGACCTTGCCTTCCTACCATACTCAATTAAAATAATGAACTATTTCAAAAATATCACAATCTCTGCAACTCTGACAGCCTGGTGGAAAGCAAACAAAACCACTAAATCATCATTAACACCATGTAGATAGACTCCAGTTTGGCACAACCCTGCATAACAACCACTTTCCAACATGGCAACACAAAGGAATCACTCACCTTCATCATCTATTTGAAAACAACCAGTTTATACCATTTAAATTAGTCCAGAAGTACAGAGTTGGGAGAGGAGAATTTTTCCAGTACCACCAGTTAAAATCCATAATTAAATCAAAGATCAATATAATCAACAACTCACTACAACCTTCCATGCTAACTAAGATAATGAAATTTACTAACTCAAAGATGATAATATCTAAACTTCATAAACTAATGTCAAATACAGATACAACAATATTAATACCAGTGACTAAATGGGAAAAGGATTTGTTGCTCCCCCCTAGCCCCGACTTCTGGACCGAGATCTGTAATAATATTTTTCCATGACTACCAATATAAACTTACAGCTTATACAATACAAGACTATTCACAGGACTCACATCACACAAGGTAAAATGTTTAAAATGGGTTTTACTGATACAGATACTTGTTCACAATGCACTGTGGGTTGCACCAATGATTACTTTCATGCTACTTGGACCCGTTTACTCCCTCTGGATAGCAGTGACAGAGAAACTCCAACATCTTGAGCTGTAGAATCCTCCCTCTCCATCACTCTGCCTGCTCGGTAATGTCACAGAAGTTGACCACCTATCAAGTAAATATAAAAACCCACTTCTTATCTCACTATTGCCAAGAAAATCATTCTAAACTGGAAATGTAAAAATTCATTACATATCAAGCACTGCACCAACCTTCTCATAGAATATATCACACTAGAGAAAATATCATCTACCCATAAGAATAATATACCAACCTTTACTGACACTTGGAATCCATTTCTAACCACTTTTAACTTAAATGAGACACCTGAGGCCGAGGCCACGCACATTCCCCCAAACTCCTAGAAATACAACAGGCTGCTTTTTACTTCATTATTGTTACTCTTATTAGTCCTCATTGTCCATGCTAATATTTTGAGTGTCACACCTATCAATCAAACCAAATTAGAATATTACCTATGCCCCCTTTTTTCCACTTCCCTCTTTCTAATCATTTATTGATGTTAATTTATTTTTGTTTTATGAATGTGTTTATATTTGAGTGTAAGTATGTGAATGCAAAACTATATATTATATGATTGATGTTTTTTTTTCTTTATTACTACAATCATCCATTTTCTATCAAACTGTCTTTTCATTCCCTTACATTTATACCCCCTCCATTTTCCTTATTTATTTGGTAATACCCTCAATTAATAATATTTTGTTAATGTCTGTTGTCTCATGTACTATGTTATGTGCTTTGTCCTATAAATGTGTTCTTTTGTGATGCAATAAAAAAAAAAAAAAAACTGAATCCACAACTGAGGCAGCAGAACATCAAACTCACAAGTGTCCAGAAACAGAACATGAAGGCAAAAGAACCAGCCAGGTGTGGAGATCAAGGAGGAGCAGAGGAAACAGGAACAAGCGAGTTGTGGTGATCAGATAAGCCAGCAACCAGACTGAGGGAAGGGAGGAGGATATATAGACAGGAGACCACGAGGTAACGAGCAGCATGTGGAAGCAATGAACAGACATTGTGAACCGGGGTAAGGCTGGGGCAGGTGAGGTGACAGAAAACAGGAAACTAACCAAAATAAAGCCTCAAATAGGAAGCGAGTCTACAAATCATAACAGAAACCATGAATGTGAGGTTGATCTTATTTGAGTGTTTTTACACCCACAGATGAGCTGCAGAGGAATTAGTTCTCCATTCTTAGTGGACAGAAGATAATTGGACCAGTTAAAATAATCTTTAGTCATGGGATTTAATATTTGAAGTCATACCTGTGATTCATAGACACCATAAGATATATACTGTACATGGTATCTGCCCACTGTTTGACACACCTACACAGCTAGCCTGAGGTCAGGTGATAAAGTTACTCTGAGGTCCTCTCAGCTCTCTGAACGTGAAGTCCGTCGTCGTTTGTAGCCTACATGGCATTAGAGAGACAGTGAGGAGCAGATAGCGGATCACTGCCAGAGCGTGAGACAGGACAGCGGCGGTGTGTGCAGACGGCGGGTCTGCCATGCAGAAAGAGGATGGCAGGAGAGGAAAGAGTTTCTCCGCTCAAGAACTTCGTGGCTGGGGGAGTCGGTGGAACGTGTCTGCTGCTGGCCGGACACCCGCTGGATACCATCAAGGTGACTGAGCAGTGCAGTTGGTTAATGCTGCAACTAGGTCTGAACGAGAAGTCTAAGCTTAATTTAATATTGGAAGACATCACAAAAAAGTTTCTAAAGGCTAATCAGTTTCCTGCTTTTAAGCCGTTTTTGAAGGTTTCATTTCGATTGTTAAAGGAAGAGTTAGATGATTGCTAAAACAGCTTTAAATGTAATGAAGGCCACGTTGCAGCTAAGACAACAACCTTTTGAAAACTGTTTAACACCACTGACATGTTAGATTAAGTTAGTGATTTGGGCTACGTAATAAGTAATAAGGCTTGAACCAACGAATATATTCGTTATAAATACTTTGTCAAAAAAAAAAAAAATAACAGAAGATCCGAGGTCTGTGATAAACCTCCCATCTTCTTACATCTCTTTTTGAAAGGTTCTCATTTTATCAGTAACAATATATAGGCTATTTTTTTTAAATGGTCAAAATCAATTCAGTAGAAGCTGAACTATCATGACTCTTAGTCCCTGGTATGGGTGGAGCTCCAAACATGCTGGATCCTATGTTTCTTGCAATGCAACTAAAACTGTGTCTACAGGCAAGCATACAATTCAGCAAATATTTTTAGTATTTTTAGTGGAGCTTCTCTCTCATGAAACATCATATTTTTTTCTATAATTAGTGCAAAATTATTAACTGCATTAAATTGTAGACTGTATGTAACCCACCTAAGTGTGATACTGCTTCATACATCAATACATCATCATATATCAGTTTAAATTTATATTTCAATGACCCTGTGGTTCACTGTGCATTTTATGTAAGAGCCGTTTTATCTAAATGCCAAAATGTGAGTGAACTGTATCTGATTTTCACAGTAACTCTTACGAGAAGCCGTATGGGCAGAAATTGAATACTTCAGGTACACGTACCTTATACATACTGATACAAAGTACTTGCACATATATGCATACTGTCATGCATATACATACACAGCCATGCTTGTATATGAATGTGAGAATGTACCAGTATGTATATATGTGCAAGTGAAGCATTCAGTTTATGCCATTTATGGCTTCTCATAAACTCTGACAAACACACAGACACACAAGTTTGCAACCACCCTGTTTATCAATGACCACAAGCAGCAGACACTGATGGGTGTTCCCCTTATCTTAGAGCACTGTCTCAACAATCCTCCCATTGCAAATTGCATGGTCAGAGTGTGCATGTGTGCGCACACGCATGTGTGTTTGTGGGGCTCAGCTTTCGAATTAAATTTTGCATTCCAGGTGAGGCTACAGACGCAGCCCAAAGCCTCCTGTGCTCAGAATGTGCTCTACACAGGAACGTATGACTGCTTTCGCAAGACTGTATCCAAAGAGGTCAGCACATACACACACATTTGTCTTTTTGTTGTGAGGACACTCATTGACATAATACATTCTCTAGTCCCTTACCCTTGACTGCAATCAACTAACTTAAAATTAATTTAAATCTGAACCTTAAAATCAAGTCTTAAGGAATAGTTCAGGATTTTTCACATTGGTATTAAAACAGTATTGGTGTACATGAGAATAGGTCTTGGTCATTGTTAGTTCTCCTACTCCCCCCACTTGGGACACCACTGCAAAAAATAAGGGAGAACATACACAACTTTCATTCTGTGCAAAAACTCACTCCAAATTTCGTCTGAGGCTCAAATGCAGCTTCAGCTGTCCCACTAAGCTAATTTGAGTTGGACTTTTTTAAAGTTAGTCTATTTAAGACAAATTTCCTTCTTTTTATTTCCTTTGTTAGTAGTTCAATGCTGGGCTGCAGGAGAGCGATATGTTCTAGTAGCCACATGTAACTTTTAGGGATTGCCATTTCAAGTTAAAATGCTTTTCGATATTCCTTGGGAACAATTCAACAATTATTCAAAGATCACAGTCACTTTGTTTTGGCTAGCACCATATTGCTAACATTGTAATGTACCTGTAAGTCCTTAGTGTTCTGCAGCAGTGGAAAGCACATTCACCAGGTTTTCAGCAGTATGCTGTTCTGGCTTCGCTTTAGTCTGAGGACCAGCGCTCTGTATTTTCCAGTTGCTTATATAATGCAGGTGACTGTCATATATGATTCAGTTGTTCATGCATCCATGGTCAGAGACACCTTTTCAACACTTGTCAAACAACTGCACAGCCCACATGCATTATCATCATACAGTTTATCCAGTTGTGCCATGACTGTTTTTCTAGATGGGACCATATACTTCGACTGTACAAATTCCATTTAACTTTGAAATCCTCCCCCTTGACAGTCTGTGGTGGTACTTAGTGGTGTTGGTGGCACCAATATAATAATGTCCCATAGGTGCTCAGTTGGATTTAGGTCAGGGGAATATGAGGATTAGGCAGCAGCCTTAATGTCATCGTCATCCAGGAACTGACTACACACTCTGGCCACATGAGCCCAGGCATTGTCCTGCACCAGGAGGAACCCAGGGTCCACTGCACCAGCGTAAGGCCTGACAGTATTGCTGTGAATTTCATCCCAGTCATGGTACGGTTTAAAAACTATTTTCATGTATAAACTGTTACAAACCAACGAAATCAGATAAACCCCTTAATTTAAACTGTATTTTGTAAAAAAGTTTTATCGTTTCACATGTTAGATTGTAGGAAAAGCCTTACAGAATGACATCTTATCACCATCACACACCATTCTATTCATTAGGATTGTAACAACCACAGCAACAATGCTGTTTATATTTCCTTGTTAAGTCAAGGAAAACAAATACCGAGAGAACCTTACTCAAACACTCAAAATATATGATGGCCCCATGCCCATTGTTCAAAAAAATAATTGAAATGCTGCTTCCCATTCTCCCCTGCTTGCTAATAACGTGTTAGCCAAGTGTAGGCTAGCTCATGTAAATAGCAGGGATGGAGGATGTGGAGGGAATAAGGTGAAGCCTGTCTATGTTTGTGTCTTCTGGAGGCTGCAGGTGGAGAGGTCCCATATACAGTACAAGGGAATCTGCTGTGCCACACCACCCAGGATCCAATGGGGGAGGAAGTGTGACAGTGTGAGTGAGAGTGTGTGCATGTTGTGTGTGTGTTGGCACAGACTGAACGTTTCCATCAAACCAGTGTGGTTAATGAAAGTAGGAGGTAGAGAAAGGCAGGAGGAGGTGGAGAGAGGAAACACTTCAGTGGCTCAAACAAATGGAGATGCTTCATATTTTACTGTAGCTGCCTACAGAGACAGTGAGACAGCAGAAAGTGAAATAAGGTGGGCTGTCTAAACATGGCACATTATTACAAGCTGCATTATATTAATGCAAGCAGTGCAGTTAACTTTTTTACATAGACATTATCTATTAATTGACTGTTTGCTAAGCTCTTCTCCTCATATTGAAGCGGTAAAGAAGGCTGTAGAAGAAGCAATAACTGTAGAAGTTAAAGAGCTGGATTAAGAAGAAGAAGCTTTATTTATTGTCATTGTAACACATGCAGCGAAATTATGTTTGGAGCCGAGGGCCCTGGGCCACTGCGTGCTTGCGCGCCTCTATCACGGGGAACGTGGGGGTTCAGTGTCTTGCCCAAGGACACTTTGACATGTGGACTGCAGGCACTGAGATTCAAACCTTCAACCTTTCAGTTGGGAAACGACTGATCTACCCACCGCCTCCCAAAAAACATTTAACATTAATCCTTGTCTGCCCAGCTAACTACTCATACCTACCAAGTGGAAACCTCTGAGGCTGAGAAATGAATCCAATACAGAAGTGCCAAAACCTGAAGTTCCTTGAACATCCACTTAAGGCTGGCTCCAAAAGGGAGTCAGTCCCCATAGACTCCCATGTTAAATTGCCCAACTTTATAGCAGAAATAAACATGTTTATAGCGTGGTACAAAAAACTGTTTTGGTCTCTGTAGCTAATTTCCCCTTCCAATGACAACTGTACAAGGGTGAATTTTTATATAACTCACTGGTTTAAACTATATTGAGACTAAAAGTTACACAATCATTAAGGGCGTGGCTGCTTTGAGTGACAGGCGGGAGGGTCCCACCATAGGTGGCTGGCCGCTAACTATCTCATACTCCACATTTTTGCCCATTTTTGGGTTAGCTGTAGCAGGCGGAGTGAAGCACTACCACTATGAAGACAGCCAATTTGTGTGTAATGGTGGGTTTGTCCACCAGAGACATTAACTTTATCCTCAGTCTGCTTGCATGATAATCCTATCTTTAGCATTCAAGGGTATATTTAAGATCCTTTTAAAATATTCTTCTTTAAATCAAGTCACCTGAAAACATTAAAAAGTCAGCTAGCATTTTATCCAAATCATACTGTTAATGTTAGTTTAATTAGTTAGCTAGGAATCTGCCAGGGACAGCTGTCATTTCACACAGCTAAATAAAGTCATCAGCTAGAAATGAGAAGCCTGCTTTTTTCTGCCTCTGTCCAAAGTCATGGACCCATTGATTCAAAGATTAGAGTAGATTGGATTCGATTCGATTTGAGTACAAGGCAACGAAATGCAGTTTAGCATCTAACCAGAAGTGCAATAACAGCAGTGCAGAGTGTACAGTCATTACTAATTTACCAATAGATATGTACAATTGATATTTACAGTAAGATATGTAGGATAATGTACTATGTACAACAGGCTATGGATTTAAATTACAGCAGTGGATAAGGTACATTAGGCCTATAGAACACTAGTGCAATGGGATGAAATGAAATAGTGCAGAATAAGAAGATAGGTTACACGAGTGAACAGTTCAATGGATGTAAATAGATAAATATACAGATAAAGATAAATATACAGTATCTGCATATGTACAGTGTGCAAATGAGTATAGATCAGTATTCTGTGAGTAGAGTATGTGCAAATTAACAGATCACTTCAGTGTTACAGGTAACAGAAGTGTATTGCATTAGTCCCGGGAGGATGGCTGTGTGTAGTGGTATAGGAAGGCAGTGGGGGGTCAAGGGGGACAGAGTTTAGTAAGGAGACAGCTGTGGGGAAGAAGCTGTTCCTGAGTCTACTGGTTTTGGTCCAGAGACTCTTAAAGCGCCTCCCAGAGGGTAGGAGGTCAAACAGTTTGTGAGCAGGGTGAGAGGAGTCCTTGAGAATGCTGCGAGCATGTTGGAGACATGCTCACCCCATCTCCCCTGTGAGTACTACCTCCCGAGGGGTGCCAAACTTTTCTTCCAGGAACCCACCTCCAAAGCAGGCAGAGGGCAGTGAAAGGTGCATATGTTCTGGGATCTTACAGTTGAAAAGGCCTACAAGTCATGTTTGTCATCATTTATTCACCAGATCTGTTTCCATTGTGCTTTGTCACATTTTGTTTGGTAAGCCAACTTTTCAACTTAAACTACTTCTTTATTTTATTTCAGTTTCCACCATTTACATATTCCATGGATGGAGACACACTTATTGACAGTCCCACATAAACAAAAATCATAGTTCATAAAGAAATCTTGCTATACATTTTCAATTTAAAATATTTATGTGTGTGTCTGTCCAGGGTATCCTTGGACTTTATAAAGGTATGGGGGCTCCCCTGGCAGGTGTAGCTCCTATGATGGCCATCAGTTTCTTTGGCTTTGGTCTCGGGAAGCAGTTCCAGCAAACAGTTCCTGGCAAACCCCTAACGTTAGTAAAACCACACACACACACACACACAGAATAATGTGTCCATTATCTCAGAGGACGTAACACTGGCTTACATTTGCTTCCTGGAGACTTAACTTAAACATAACCATAGCCCAGTACTCACCTAACCCTATAAGAATAGTTTGGGATTTTTCCAGTTGGTGTTAAAACAATATTGATACATCCCTGTTTACATGAGTACAGAGCTTTGTCATTGCCACTTGTATTTTCCACACTGACCATGAATGTTTCCATTCAGAATGTGACTATATTGCAAAAAATGAGGGACAAACTACACAGCTTTCATTCTGTACAGAATCTCACTCCAGAGTTTGAGGCTCAAATGGAACTTCAGCTGTCACACTAAGCTAATTTGAGTCAGTATCTTTTAAAGCTAGTCTATTTAAGACATATTTTCCTCTTCTAAAAATAACTAACATAGAACAAAAGCAGCTCTCTACAGCCACTTACAAAAAGCCCACTGGGCTCCATGGGGCAAAAACACAGAGCAAGGCAGAGATACTGGTAGCCAGTGTACAGATCCCATAATTAGGAGACAGTACAGAAGTCAAAACCCTGGCAGAGACAAACAGCTTGCAGCACAGACGAGGGCTAGACAGGCAGAGAGTCAGGGGACACAATCATGAAGTGGAATGAAATTTATTGGATATTTCAAACTTTTTTAACAAATAAAAAACTGAAAAATTGGGCGTGCAAAATTATTCAGCCCCCTTAAGTTAATACTTTGTAGCGCCACCTTTTGCTGCGATTACAGCTGTAAGTCGCTTGGGGTATGTCTCTATCAGTTTTGCACATCGAGAGACTGAAATTTTTGCCCATTCCTCCTTGCAAAACAGCTTGAGCTCAGTGAGGTTGGATGGAGAGCGTTTGTGAACAGCAGTTTTCAGTTCTTTCCACAGATTCTTGATTGGATTCAGGTCTGGACTTTGACTTGGCCATTCTAACACCTGGATATGTTTATTTGTGAACCATTCCATTGTAGATTTTGCTTTATGTTTTGGATCATTGTCTTGTTGGAAGACAAATCTCCGTCCCAGTCTCAGGTCTTTTGCAGACTCCATCAGGTTTCCTTCCAGAATGGTCCTGTATTTGGCTCCATCCATCTTCCCATCAATTTTAACCATCTTCCCTGTCCCTGCTGAAGAAAAGCAGGCCCAAACCATGATGCTGCCACCACCATGTTTGACAGTGGGGATGGTGTGTTCAGGGTGATGAGCTGTGTTGCTTTTACGCCAAACATAATGTTTTGCATTGTTGCCAAAAAGTTCGATTTTGGTTTCATCTGACCAGAGCACCTTCTTCCACATGTTTGGTGTGTCTCCCAGGTGGCTTGTGGCAAACTTTAAATGACACTTTTTATGGATATCTTTAAGAAATGGCTTTCTTCTTGCCACTCTTCCATAAAGGCCAGATTTGTGCAGTATACGACTGATTGTTGTTTTATGGACAGAGTCTCCCACCTCAGCTGTAGATCTCTGCAGTTCATCCAGAGTGATCATGGGCCTCTTGGCTGCATCTCTGATCAGTCTTCTCCTTGTGTGAGCTGAAAGTTTAGAGGGACGGCCAGGTCTTGGTGGATTTGCAGTGGTCTGATACTCCTTCCATTTCAATATTATCGCTTGCACAGTGCTCCTTGGGGTGTTTAAAGCTTGGGAAATCTTTTTGTATCCAAATCCGGCGTTAAACTTCTCCACAACAGTATCTCGGACCTGCCTGGTGTGTTCCTGGTGTGTTCCTTGTTCTTCATGATGCTCTTTGCGCTTTAAACGGACCTCTGAGACTATCACAGTGCAGGTGCATTTATACGGAGACTTGATTACACACAGGTGGATTCTATTTATCATCATTAGTCATTTAGGTCAACATTGGATCATTCAGAGATCCTCACTGAACTTCTGGAGAGAGTTTGCTGCACTGAAAGTAAAGGGGATGAATAAGTTTGACATATCCAATAAATTTCGTTCCACTTCATGATTGTGTCCCACTTGTTGTTGATTCTTCACAAAAAAATTACAGTTTTATATCTTTATGTTTGAAGCCTGAAATGTGGCAAAAGGTCGCAAAGTTCAAGGGGGCCGAATACTTTCGCAAGGCACTGTAACAGGTTTGTAGACAGATGACAGCTGTAACACACAGTATAACACTGACGACCATCTGGCAACTGGAGAAAAGAAAAAAAGAAAAGGAGTATATGTAGGGTGGAGACAAACAACAACAGATAAGTGGAATTAGCCAGGTGTTCTGAATCAGCCAGTGATTGGCAGTAGTGAATCCTGAGAGAGTGAGGTGGTGAAAACCAGGACGTTCCTTTCAAAATATTGATCTTAGCAGGAAGTCAGAGGCGGAGTATGACATGTCTTTGAGATGATTAATGAAAAGCAGAAGAAGCTAGTACCAAAGTACTATTTATTATACCCTGCTAAATTTAAATGGATTGTATTATTACAGGTGGGCCAAATGTTATTGGTAGATTAGGTGCCTTTCAGAAAAATGTTCTACCTTGTATAAGCTGTATTGTATTTTACAATCACTGGGTGCCATTGTTTAGTTATGATTGTCTTGTGCATTTTTGTTTTGTTTGTTTGTCCTGTGGCAATAAAGAATAGGGCTGCCAGTAATGACTGTTTTTCTCTTTATTAATCTATCAACTATTTACCGATTAGTGAGTTAATCTAGATTATAGATTGATGAAAATGGAAACCACAGCATCTTTTAAAGATAATCTAATATTTTATCCACACACTGAATCAAAGGACTGTGTAATGTAAAAGGGCTTACTCACAGCGATGAACCTATCACATGATTCTGTAATTTCACTCAACTCTCTGAAAGTGATTCTTTTCTTTTCCACACAGGCACACTCAAATATTCTTGTCTGGCTGTCTAGCAGGGGTCTTAACTACAGTCATTGTGGCTCCAGGAGAGAGGATCAAATGTCTACTGCAGGTAAAGTGTTTGTGTGTGCATGTATGCATACATCATGTGGGTGCCAGGTGTCAGCTCAATAAGGTATGTGGCATGTGCATGTGACTGAATATGTTACATTATGAGGTTAAAGTTTTTTTTCTTGCAAAGGGTGTTAATTCATTAATTTATTCATTAATTTATTTATTTCCATTGCTCAGATCTTACACATCAGTAGTTCAGTGTGAACAACAATGACAGCAGATCACAGAACAGGATAGCTTTAAAAGTTCCTCATAACTGTGAACTGGGACAGGCTGAATGTCAGTACTATGCACCTCACTACTGGAAAGAACAGCAATTTAGAGACAGTGATCCCTTTAAGGGAATTTAATAATACATGGATATTTTAATTATGGTG